AAAAGAGGAAGGGGGAGGAGGAGGGGAGGAAGAGGGAGGAGGAGTGGAGAAGGAGAGGGGAAGAGAAGGTGGAAGAGGATGATGCACGGACCAGCGAAGCATACGTCGAAACCACCGTGTAAGACGAGTTACATGTACAGGGTGTCGTCGTTGGCGAGCACGAATGTAACAAGTCTATCCACGAGCTAATGCGGATGGAGCATGGCCACGAGAAAGCAAACGTGGGACAAGCATGGTTGCCGCAGTTCTGAAATCACGCCAGTTGTCACAATTCTGCTCAAACCGCATAAGTTGACCGGTGAACACACTTGCAGGCTGATGAGATGGAATGTTCGACGTTGCACTAGAATATCGTATAACAGGAAATTCCCATGCAACAGTTTTATCAACCACACTAAATCGGAGAGATCCGTCGGCCCATGTCTGCAGTTTCGCACCTAAGAAGGTGCACGAGCCATCTGCCGCAGTGGTCTCCTTCCATTCAAGACCATAATGGGCTGATGATGGTGGCAGACAATCAAAGGTAAGAACATCATCAAGGAACCGATAAATGAAAACATATCGATGGGCTGCAGAGGGATCCATACGCTGCAGGTTATCCATGTACTGCGCCTCATCCCAATAGAGTGTAAGGTTAGCAATCTCGGAACCAGTGTTTGTACCCATTGGGATTCCAACGTCTTGATGGCGAACAAGGTCATCCGCTGTATATAGACATGTATCAGTAACAATAAGCCGAAGATGTTGAAGAATGTCAAACACAGAAAGAGTGTCAGGTCACGTATTCGTAGTCCATTCCCCTGCACGCGATCCACGAACCACCATACGAAGAGCAACAGAGGATAAACGTGTCTGTATGTGTTGTCGTACCTGTGCAAGAGCATAGGTGTGCGCCTCATCAACAACATTAGCAACACTGTCAAGAATCCGTTCATGAGAAAGATTAGCATACATAGTGAAATCGACCGTATGAGGGGCCAGACCACGGAGAGAAGCTTTATTTTTTTTCAGGTCAAGCATGACCTCGTCACTGCTCTGGACGATCCAACATCGTCGAATACCTTTCGATTGGAAGAGTTGATTATCTTTTTCACAAAGAGTACGGATGACACCTTGAAGTGCCGCACTCAAACGAGCCGATGTAGGTGTTGTACTAGCCACAGGCTTGTGAGGCGGTCGGTGATGCAAACGCTGGACTCGTTGGAGGGGCGCAAGTCACTCCCTTGGGCCGTATGAGAAAAAGAAAGATTGTTGCGAGCAGTGATACGAAGAATAGTACGGAGTGTGGGAGGAGACTTATGGGCCTCAAGTGCGCAATAAAGATACAACAATGTGTCAGCATGAGGATAATTCCAATGATTGTTCCAAATCGCATGGCTATTCAGAATGTCGGCCGCTGTTCCGGCGGGCCGAGAATACGTAGGACTGTCAAGGTGGCTTGACAGTTTGAATTTGTACCAATTTTTACAGCAAATAGCCAAATTATGTGATGTTTTGTCCACAGGAACAATCGCAAAGGATTCTTGAAGCTGATGTAGGGCCGTATGTGCGTGTCGCAAGGAGTGAGATTGTCGCAAAGGTGACACGGCAACCATATTGCACTCACAGTGACGTTATTCAGGCATAATAAGTCGATATGAGAAAGGAAAGCCCTGCATCCACGCTGTTTTATCTTAAGTCTCGCGCGCAACGCCTAACGAATTTCCATATAAAAAAGTTATGGGTTGGACACTAAAAAGACTAGGACTGTTTTGTTTTGTGTGAGCGATCTGATTTTTGTTTTGCCATGGTGTAACGCGTGGTAAGAAGGATGCATCCTAGTCGACCGACGACGAGTTGCGCTTGGGACTTCAGCCCCCCAATGCATCAGTTCGCGTAAGGGTCCGATAAAGACGTGGGACCACACATACCCCCTGCGCTACAGCGTATGAGAAGCGCCCTTGGCTGGGTCACCTCTGCGATTGCAACTGGTTAAACTTTCAAATGTGGTTCAGTAGCTCGGCGAGGATACACCCACCTAAGGGATGGTGACAGCTCCCGTAGGTGGAGGTTTGTTGTACCTCTCGTGGCCATATCCTGCCGTAAGGGTATGGCTGGCGCACTCGACCGGAACAACGACGAAAGCTCCAGTTGCACCGCAATAAAGGATAAAATCCTGCCACAAATCTTGCGTGACGCTGTCGGGAGGGTCCCCCTGCGGGACCGATGCGCACGACAACGCGATCTCCAACCTCCACTTACACCCCAAGTTTTGGGGCTGAAAAAGGGGAAGGACCTGACGGAGAGGATCTTACATTACCGTTTTACATAGTGGCTTTGGGCTATAGGCCTCTGCTGCACAAGCAGTTCGTGCAATAGGTTGTGACATTATCTGGAAAGAAAGGAACCTACAAATTTTCAACAACAGGGAAGTGTCAAGCAAGGAGATCAAAGGCATGTTCAAGGCCTCTTTGAGGCGAGTTATACAGGCTGACTGGATGAGGAGAGGCCAGGGCACCTCGACAAGATGGTTGGGGGACACCTGGGGCAGGGAAGGTAAATTGGTGAAATTAGAGGAAGGGAAATGAATGTTAGATGGATGGTTTTTTATGTAATAGGTCGGCCTTCAAACCAGTTCTATTGATCCACAGGAGGATGGTAGTTGGTTATGAAAGAGGAGGGAACGCGACAGTAGGCTAGTTGGACCCCAGGGGTGTCCTTCCGTCATTTCTAGACGGACTTGCAGGGTCATGAAAATAAGGAATTGTGAAACGAGGGATTTTCCAGGTTTGTTGGCTTCGTAAGGTTTAATGTGTATCGGGCAGATTTGTAGTTGCACCTCAATAAAGGATAAAGTCGTGCCACAGATCCTGCGTAACGCAGCCGGGAGGGTACCCCTGTGGGACCGATGCGCACGACAACCCGATCTCCAGCCTCCACTTACACCCCAAGTTGTGGGGCTGGAAAGGAGAAGGGCCAGACGGAGAGGATCTTCCAATACCGTTTTACTCCGTGGCTTTGGGCTATAGGGCTATGTTGCACAAGCAATTTGTGCAATCAGTTGTGGCATTATCTGGAAGGAACCTACGAATTTTCAACAAGGAGATCAGAGGCATGTTCAAGGCCTCTTTGAGGCCAGTTATACAGGCTGACTGGATGAGGAGAGGCCAGGGCACCTCGACAAGATGGTTTGGGGACACCTGAGGCAGGGAAGGTAAATTGGTGACATTAGAGGAAGGGAAATGAATGTTAGATGGATGGTTTTTTGCGTAATAGGTAGGCCTTCGAACCGGTTATTTGATCCACAGGAGGATGGTGGTTGGTTATGAAAGAGGAGGGAACGCCACAGTAGGCTAGTTGGACCCCAGGGGTGTCCTTCCGTCATTTTTAGACGGACTTGTAGGGTCATGAGAGTAAGGAATTGGGACATGGGGGATTTTCCAGATTTGTTGGGTTCTCAAGGTTTACTGTCTATCAGGCAGATTTATAGGGCTAATTAGGACCTAGCTTTCAGGGCTGAATGATCCGATGGTTGGAGACAGCTTTCTAGTACAGATGGGGTGCGTGGATCGGTAGTTTACATTTTCCTAAATTGTTTAGTAGTATTGGCGTGTGGGTGGGGGTCTTTTTGGTTTTATTGTTTTGAATTGTGTGGCTTTGCAGGCTTGTAGATATATTACTTTATCAGAAGTGACGTTTCAGGACAGTGGCTTAAGTTTGGTCAATTCTGTTCCTAGACTTTCCTCAGGCTTCTGCGATTGGTATATTTGATACATCGAGCAGCTAAGCGAAACTGGGTAATGCTCGCAGGATAACTCCGGGTTGAATTGCGAGGTTCCCAACCTCAACTTAACCTGTTATAATACAATGTTCTTTCTATTTAAAAAAAAAAAAGATAGAAGATATAGATAGAAAATGAAAAATGAAATTCTCTCTCTCTCTCTCTCTCTCTCTCTCTCTCTCTCTCTCTCTCTCTCTCTCTCTCTCTCTCTC